AAGATACCTAAAGGCAACAAAAATAGGAGACCAAGTACACAGAGAGAAACTCTGTAGCACCTTGCAATGCAGAGGCCTGCGGCAGCTTTTGTGCTTAGAGTACCACACATTTTTCCCCAAGAATCAAGTAAATTTTTGTGAAGTTAAATGTTCTACAAGTTATATAATTATGTAAGTGCTTAGGACACCTATATTTGCTTAATTTTAAGCTTTCTGAGAAGCAGACTACAATACCAAACTTTAAAACATGGTGTTCGTTCTTGCCATTAGTTATCCATAAGTTCTCTATTTCCTGCTCTGAAATATTAACAAATACTGCAAATCACTTTGAAATCAAATCACCTGGAAGAAGCTGAGATCCAACAATACAGAACTCCATACAGCATAGGGTTAATGAGTAACAAAAAGCAAGGATAATAATGCCTTGACAAGTATTTAGCCCCCAAATTGCTTAACAAAACTAATCATAATGCTTGCTGGTTTTTTCCCCTTCCAATTTATGTGTCAAGGCTTGTTCCTTCAAGCAGGAAAAATACCTTATGAAAAGAACTGCCTTAAGAACTATCAAATAGTAACTTTAACAATGTAGTTAATTTTTCTCGTTTCCTTTCATGCTAGGTGTATTAATTTTAATCTACCCAATCTGAATCACCTCTAAAGGAGCTTTTAATATTGACTTTTGCTCTACATTAAACATGTTTCTTGGCACAGTGTGCTTGGTCAAACTGTGCTTCTGGGTAGTGCTATATGCTCAATAACAAAGTTTCTATTTGTATAATTTCTCATTTGTACCTCCCCTGAAACACTGGCTCCCAGCACAAGAATATCACCCAACTAAAAAAAATTTAGAAGAACCATCTTTTTTTAAAGACAATCAAACACTGTGTAGCTAAGGTGCAATGGCACCAACCATTCAGGATCTCGAGTAAACCATCGGGAGACACTTTCTAGTAGTCCTGCAAGTGTCCTGAAAACACTGCTTGATCAAAGCATTGGGCAGTGGTTCATCAACCTCAATGCTCTGAAGGCTCAAGCATCAAAGAAAGACACTGGATTTGAAGACAGAGATATGAATTGTTACCTGAGATGGTGAAGGTTTCACCAAGCAGAGCCCTCAGCCACTGAGATCTATCCCAACTCACACCCATCATCACTAGATTACAGCATAACCACCTTTGTTGTGGTGGTCCCCATTTAAGTATCAGCCAAAATTAAGGGTGAAGAAGTTCTCCTGCCATGTAGCGAAGGACCGCCTCAGATGAACAGAAGATGCCTATGACATAAAGGTGGAATCAGTGAACTGCTCACACCTAGCTCTGCAGATTATGGCACAGTCTGGTTCTCTACTGCTCAGGCACTGCCTGCAAAACCAGAAGAACACATTCCCATCACATCCAGAGCAATTCAGAACTATTACATAGGCCAGTGGATTCTGATTTAAAGACCTGTCTTACCACACCATGTCCTTCCCAGCTGACCTAAGAAAGAAGCAAGTGTCACCACTTGTGACCTGGACACAAAGCATTTCATTCTGAGAAAAATACTCCATCACTCAAAAAACCTCAGTAACTGAACCAGATGTGAGTAACACCTTAGACACACAAGATCTACCTAAATTTCACCCTTAAACTCTGTGAATGAGTCTGGGACCAAAAATTTAAGTTCACCTATTGCAGTCAGGTGCCTGTAGCCCAACACAGCTGATTCTGCCTGAACTTTTGTCAAACTCAATTTCTTCCTGACAGCAACTGAGGGACAGACATTGGCTCTTATCTCAGCTTCTCTGCAGGATTTAACATCACTGCCCCTGAGCTATTTTTGCCTTGCCAGAGAGGAATGAGAAGTAACCAGTGCATGGAACAGTTCAGCTCCTTCCTTGAGGATGGTAATATGGAACCTAAACAAAGGGTTGCCCAAAACATTAGAAACTATTGAGTATGACTGGGAACACAGTAATTAGGCAAGACAAAGGTTGATATAGTCTCCACTGCAGATGTCCACCTTCAGATGATCACACAGAGGAGGGGGAGGCTGCTGGATCATCCCTTGCTGGTACAAGCTGCTCTTCACACTGTTGTTGCTCCTGGAGGCCACTGCCCTTGCCATCTACCTGGCAGCCCCAAACTCTGAAGCACTGCAGCAGACTGAGCATGCTATGCTAGCTGACAAAATATGCTTAGATGCTGTGCTTGAATTTTTAAGAAGTCCCCAACTTTATCATAGCCAGCATATTGATAACCTACCATTTAAAACAAACATTCAGGGAGACTTGTTTTCTGCTTCAGTTTATCAAATGCTACAGTTACAGGATTTGCAACTGAAACCAGTCTGTTCAAATGTTGAACTAGTTTTAGACAGCAGTAGCTCCTGTCAAGGAGGTGCAGAGAAAGCACTTTCCTCCTTTCAGTTCATTCAGCTATTCCAACAACACAGAGAGAAAGGCTGTATTTCCCCAAGATGCCAAAAGCTGATGTTACCAGCTCCAATATTTCCACAGGCATAAATCAAGCATCTCTATTCCCTATCAACAATCATTAACACTTTCTTTATTAAGGTCACTTTAAACATAGTAGCTTAACTAGAAGCCTTTGTTTTTCCCCTCCAGTTCCTACCCTTAAACTGCACTTTAAGTGGAAGAAAATTCTAAACTCTCATTGCCACAAAGCTGAAAAAAAGCTACCTCCTGTAATTGCATATTTCTAGTCCTGCTTGCCTAACCTTAGTAAACTAAAAATACAAAACAAGATGAAGCTAGATATTTCATCAAGTCAAGCAATATGAGAAATGAAACAGAGGCAAAGCAAGCACTAGTTCAGAGCAGCATATACTATCAGTACATCACTGAAGTCACTCATCAAATAAAGTTTGGGTATTAATCTGATCTCTGAGTGACTCCATAAGCCATGCCTAATGCATCTGAAGGCCTAATACAAAGAGAGCCATGAACATCACTTCTCCCTAGGGACAGAAGGAGGGTCCAAGACCGCTTTTTCAGTGGCTCAGAAGTCAGGATACATAATCAAAAATCAAATGCTACAAAAATCCACCCCACAGAGCTCCTCCTGGAGGAAGGATGAGAGAAACAGCACACAAGAGACTTCAGCCATGCCACTTAAAGGGAATACTGCTGCTCTGGAGGCCAGACCTCAGCCTCCCACTCTCAAAACAAGTATCACAGGACTGGTGAAAACAATTTAGAAGAAAGACACAACAGTTCAAGGACATCAAATACTCAAAAAGACAGCACAGTCACAACACTGTGTAAGGCAACTGGCACTCTTGTCTAAATCTACGCTTGTTAACACACATCCCCAGATTATTTCACAGGTTGCTTCAGGTTCTTTCCAGGAACAACTGCAAACACACACTCCAGAGAGTTCCCTAACCAAGCAAACATATTTTGATCCGTTATGATTTCTTTGAGAAAAAAAAAATGGATGAGTAATTTAAGTGCAGGAAGAGGTCATGAGACCATTCGGATGTGAAGATGACACTGTTACCAACCAACGACTGGAGCGACTTCCTGAATAAGTAATAATGGAGGTGAGTCTAAGAATACACCTATCACACCTACATGAGTAAGCCAGCCAACTCATTACAAAAGGCAAGCCTTGTGCCAAAGCCTTCTCTTCCTCCCAAACAACGAGGCCAAACCGAACGTGACTCAAATCTATTATTCCCCAAGCTACAGGTTATTTTGGTTCTGTGGAACAAAGTTTCAAACCTTGACCTGGAGAGGCCAAGAGGCAACAAAGGTGCGCCTTAGTCAAGCAAAGGCACCGTTCAAAATTTCCTTCAGTTTGACAGAGGCCAAAGGGCATGGAACGTGAGATGCAGGAGCCACAACTGAAACAGTTAACTGCTGGGAGAAGTGAGCTGGTGGGGGCAATATTTTGCCAGGGACCAAGCAGACATCAAGTGCAGAGAAGTGTGCCTGATACAGAGTATCCTCTGCACATTCTAAGGTCTTCCAGTTGCTTCTTTTAAGAAAAAGAGCACAACTCCTCCTTCTCCAGTTGTTTTGATAATTTAAGTCCACTGCCTTCAGTTCTTTTCTGGGACAGCTGTGCCAGATTTTTTACTCGCTGCATGCACAAGAGTGGAAATATCAACCACAAAAGTTTTTTTGTATGAACGGAAGGCTGAGAGAGGAATTGAAAGCATTTATCTACCTTTACCCATTATGTGTTGCTGCAGCCCTTTGAAGGCTGCCTTATGAAAGTTTAGAGAGGAAGAAAACAGGAGTAGAAAAAATAATCATATAAAACAGCCCTGAAGCCCATGAAGTTCTGAGGAAAACACAGCCTTTATCCTGAATTAGCCATCGATGAGTGCAGCTATCGAGGGATGGCTGGGAAGCCCCTTCCTTTGAAATAAGTATCATCATAGAACTGTAGAATGGTTTGGCTTGGAAGGAACCTTAAAGATCACTCAATTCCAACGCCCTGCCATGGGCAGGGACACCTCCCCCTAGACCAGGTTGCTCAGAGCCCCATCCAACCTGGCCTTGAACACTGCCAGGGATGGGCCATCCGCAGCTTCTCTGGCAACCTGTGCCAGGGCCTCTCTATCCTCAAAGCAAATAATTTCTTCCTAATCTCTAATCTAAACCCTCTCTCTTTCAGTTTGAAGCCATTACGCATTGTCCTATCGCTTCAGGCTCTTTTAAACAGTCTTGCCCCATCCTTCCTGTGAGTTCGCATCAGATCCTGGAAGGACATGGAAACACGGACCAGACGATGTCCAGAGGTCCCTTCCAAACGCCACATCCCCGTGATTCTGTGACACACACACAGACAGAAGAGCCACGGGGGCACCCTGGGGCGGCAGGGGCGAACTCTCGCCCTTCCCTGAGGTCCCGCAGGAGGCTCTTTGGGGCTAAAAGAGCAGGTTCCCAGCGAGGCGACGGCCTTGCCCGGGCCGAGCCCGAGCCCCCTCCCGCAGGCCCGGCCCCGGCCCGGCCCCACCGCGCGGCCCGGGGGGCGGCGGGAAGGCCCTACCTTGAAGTACCCGCCCTCGTACAGCGTGTTGGGGGGCCCGAAGATCGCCACCTCCCAGTTGTAGAGGTCGGACTCGTCGACCAGGGTGATGCGGAAGCCCTCGACCGGCTCCTCCTGCAGCGACTTCAGCTCCAGCATCAGCGCCTTCTGCGAGCTGCTCATCTGCTGCTGGGCCATGGCGCGGCGCGGCCCCCGCCGCGGCCGCCCCGCGGGTGCCGGTGCCGCTGTCGCCGGTGCTCCCGGTGCTGCCGGCGCTCCCGGTGCTGCCGGAGCCGCCCCCGCCCCTCCCCGCGCTGACGGACCCGCCGCCGCCGCCACTTCCTTTTGTGACGGCGCCGCTCGCGCTGACCTCAGCGCGCCGCGCCGGACACGCCCCCGCCGCGCGCGGGACACGCCCCAGCCCGCCCCGTTGGACACGCCCCCTTCTCCTCCCCCCCCACACACACAGACCGCCGCCGCCGCGCGCCACGCCCCGCCCCCTTTCGCCGCGCGCGCTTAAAGGGGCCGCGACCCGCCCCGCCCCCCCCCGCCCTCACAGGGGAGAGCGGTGAGCGGGGGAGGGGGAGAGGGGGAGTCACAGAGTCACAGAGTTGGGTTGGAAAACACCTCCGAGATCGCCCAGCCCAACCTGTGACCGACCCCCCAACGTCAACCACGGCTGGGCACTGAGTGCCCTGTCCAGTCGTCCCTTGAACACCCTCCAGGGACGGTGGCTGCACCACCTCCCCGGGCAGGGCAGCCCCTTCCAGCGTCTGGTCAGCCTTTCTGTGGAGAAGTCCCTCCCAGTGCCCGACCTAAGCCTCCCCTGGCCCAACTTGAGACTATAAAGAAGCTGTTAGAGAGCGTCCATAGAGATGGTGAAGGGTCTGGAGGGGAAGCCGTGTGAGGAGTGGCTGAGGGCACTCGGTGTGTTCAGCCTGGAGGAGACTGAGGGGAGACCTCATTGTGGTCTCCAACATCCTCATGAAGGGAAGCAGAGGGGCAAGGACAGATCTCTTCACTCTTGTAACCGGTGACAGAACCGGAGGAAATGTCATGAAGCTGAGTCAGGGGAGTTTTAAGTTGGATATCAGGAAAAAAGTGTTGGTTGGGCACTGAAACAGGCTCCTCAGGGAAGTGGTCACAGCATCAACAATGACAGAGCTCAGGAAGTGTTTGGACAGTGCTCTCAGACATGTGGTGGGATACTTGAGGTGTCCTGTGCAGGGCCAGGAGTTGGACACGATGATCCTGATGGTTCCCTTCCAACTCAGCGTATTCCATGGTTCTATGAGTTTATGTCCTCTCATCCTGGCATCACTGGTTGCCTGGGAGAAGAGCCCAACCCCCACATGGCAACAACATCATTTCAGGTCATAGAGAGCAATAGGGTCACCCCGGAGCCTCCTCTTCTCCAGGCTAAACACTCCCACCTTCTACAGCCACTCCTCCTAGGACCTGCACTCCAGACCCTTCACCAACAGCTTTGCCCTTCTCTGAACCTGCTTCAGCACCTCAATGTCCTTTATGAATGGAGGAGCCCAGAACTGGACACAGCACTTGAGGTGTGGCCTCACCAGTGCCCAGGAGAGGGGAAGAATCACTTCGCTGGTCCTGCTGGCCACACTATTGCTGATACAGGCCACGATGCCATTTGCCTTCTTGCCCACCTGGGCACACCGCTGGCTCGTGTTCAGCTGGCTGTTGACCAGCACCCCCAGGTCCTTTCCTGCTGGCAGTCCCATTATCCCCAGCCTGGAGCACTGCAGGGGGTTGTTGTGACCCAAATGCAGGACCTGGCACTTGGCCTTGTTAAACTTCATACGGTTGGTCTTGGTCCATCAATCCAGCCTGTTCAGACAGTCACAGGTCATGGGTGAGTACAGTGGGGTGTGGTTAGCCCACCGATGGGCACCCATGATCGCAAATCAGCTCTTTTTGTTCAGAGGATGGTTTTTGAGGAGTGAATTTGCATGACCAAGGGTCCCCAGGAGCAACAGGACATGAACAGGCAGCTGGCACCCCCCCACAACCCATGTGGTTTTTTCACATTCTCCATGGATGTGCAACATGGGCACACCAGAACATACCGTTTTTAGCACTTCTCCCATTCTCCAGCTGGGTTAAGGCTGAAAAATGATTGCAAAGGTGTCGAGGTATATCGACCAGTGAATGTGAGCCAGCACCTGTTCCTTAGGAAGTCTTTAATGAATAACATAAATAATATTCATTATAAAAATAAAGAAATAAAAATAACATTGATTGTCCAGGATTAGGACAACCCATTTGTGCTTGGCATTTCTTTCATCCTTCTGCACGTGGCAGGGCTTAGGCCACCTCACAGAGGCACCTGCTTCTTGGACAAACAGGTTGGATGATTGTGTCCCAACATCCCTACAGCATTATGTAGCTTTAACCTTCTTCCTTGCCCCCATCACCTCTCATGCCTCTCATGCTTTCCCATCTTGATGACAACCCTGTGGGCAAGGATGACCGTTGGATCAATCTCCTGAATTTTTCAGAGCCATGGACTTTCCCAAAGGTATGGAACAGACAGTGAGGGCTGCCTGCATTTGTGGGAGATCATGCAGCTGTGCCAGTTTGGAAGTCTACTTGGCACCTGACAGCTATGACTCTGGCTCCTTTTCCATACCTTAGCCCAAAATGGAGAATAGGAGGCAGATGTTTTTCCCCTGCTGCTACCAGGACAGATTTGCTGTTGCCCAATGACAAGCATGGTATCCTCCCCCTTGTCCCTGGGGCTCCTCTTCTTGTCCTTCTCCTGCCTCGAGCTTTCCCCTGTTCCCGTCTCCAAAGATGCTCCAGCACTGCCAGTGGTATCCAGCCCAGGGCTTGTGACTGCCTCCAGGCTGTAAAATATCCCAGCCCTTGCAAAATCCCTCCTCACTGGGAAAAATGTTCCTGTGGGGACTGGCGTTGCTTTTCTCATGAGATGAGATGAGCTCTTGCTCAGTGCCACAGAGGTAATGTGGATAAGCATCCCTTGTCCATTCATAGCTTGCCTAGCTATGATGAAAAAAAGTATGTGTTCCCCTACCTGTGCCTCCCTGCAGGCAAAGGTCAGCCACTGTTTCTCATTCTTTGCCGCCTTGGAGTGAGCTCAGATTTACTGAAAGCTGATTAATTCAGCTCTCACATCCTCAGATAGGGGCTGGAGGGGTAGGACATGAAACACTGTTTGCCAGACAAGCTCCTTGGTGGTTGGGAAGTACCATGCTGGGTGTGTTTTCTGGTGGAAGTTCAGTCCTATGTTCTTTTTACTTATTTAGAACAAAATAGGAAAGAATGGACCATTTCTGTTGAAAGAGACCTACAACTGCCTGACCAATTCTGGGCCGATCAAAAGTTCAAGCATGTTTTTAAGGGCATTATCCAAATGCCCCTTAAACACTGATAGGCTGGGAGCATCAACCACCTCTCTAGGAAGCCTGTTGCAATGACTGTCTACCCTCTCTGCAAAGGAATGCTGCCTGATGTCAAGTCTAAACCTCCCCTGGCACAACTTTGAACTATTCCCATGTGTGCTGTCACTAGATACCAGGGAGAAGAGCTCTCTCTATATCACTCTCACTTCTCTCTCCACTTCCCCTCCTCAAGAGTCTGTGGAGAGCAACATCCTCAGGTCCCCTTTCTCCAAACAAGACATGCCCAAAGTCCTCAGCTGCTCCTCCTGGCATTCCTTCCAGCCCTTTCACCACCTTTGTTGCCCTCCTTGGGACATTCTTAAATTGTCTTGAGCTGATGGACATAACACATGCTGTGACCTTCTGTGTTGGTGCCAGCCAGCGAAGACCTGCTCTGATAACAGGGCATCCCAGCTTGCTGGTGAAACATGGATTTGCTCATGCTCAGAGGAGAATGTGCAGGAGCTGAGCTCTTTTGGGATTGCACTGCCCCTATTTCTATGGTAATCAAAACATCTTTCCTTGCAGCCAGCCTCCAGCACAGGCTTTGTCTGAACCAGCGTAACTCTGGGAGAGATGGGAGAAGCAAAGTTTGGAGTTATTCAGGATTTATCTCTGCTGCCTGTCTCGAATGCTAACGAAAGAGGTAATCATGCAAGGCAAAAAGTAAAGCAAGCCTCAATAGTACTCAATAGGGCAGACTGAAAATTTTCCATTGGGTCTGCTTTTAGAGAGAATATTGGTCTTTTTCTCTCCGAGTTTTTTCCACCTCTCCTGCAAAAACATTCTGTGCTCAAAGAAAATAGAAAATGTTGAAGCAACAGAGTATTTTGAAGCCTGGGCAGCCTGGCAGCCCCCTCCAAGGCTCCTGCCTGCATTTCTGCCTGTGCTCCCAGGGAGGCTCAGCTGCTCTTCCTGGTGTCCCTTTCCCTGGGCCCAGGCTGCCCTGAGGCTAACACAACATATGGCATTTCTCCCCTCTGATCACCTCTGATATATCATAGTGAAAAGAGGAAACATTGTTCCCCTCCTTCTCCTCCTTTAGCTATTTTCCTGTGGATGGTCACTGCCTGCCTGCAAGCAGGGCCCTCCACGGAGTGTGGTCTGCCACAAACTGTGTTGTTCCCTCTTTCATTTTATTTTCACCTGAAGGAACCAGTTTTTTCTTTGATCTCAGAGAAAAAGTAATAAGGATTGGTGTAGGAACGTGGCTCCAGAATGGGGAAATCTCACTGGGAGGGGAGGAGGTTACATGTGCCAGTAATCCAACCCTCAGCACCAGAACTTGTCACTGTAAACTGGACCTCAAGGTGCCACTGGTGCAATAGGTAAATCTGAGAATAAAACTTCTCTTTAAGTAATTTCTGGTTTGTTCTCGTCATCTGTTTTTAAAATCTCTTTTCCTCATTTCTTTCTTCCTTCCTGTGAGCAGTGTTGATGGAGACTGAGAGTTAACTCCTCTGCTTAGCAACAGCAGAAGCTTTGAAAATGTAAACCTGTCTTGGTGTCACATTAGAGGGTTCCTGCTCCAGAAGTCTGTCAGAGGGAGGGGACAAGAGGTGGGAAGATGTGGGAGGTCCTCCCTGTGTGACTCCATTCCTGGGACAGAATCATCTCACATGATACTCTTCACTGCTTTATCTAATTTCTTTCCTGAGTGGCTCAAAGGATGAGATACCTGCTCCTTCCCTGAGAGGAGTGGACTCACCTGGGATAAAAGACAACTCTGGGGACTCTGGACTGGCTTTAATACCGTCTCACTCAATATGTCAGATAGTGAAGTGATGAAGAAGATAAGGCTGAGGGTAGGAATTCTGCTGAGCTCACATTTCTCCCCAGGAGTCCCTTGTAACTCAAAGCACCAACAGCTATTCCTTGGGCTCTACTGAAGCAGAGCAGGACACCGGGAGGTCCACCTCACCACGCTCCTGCCCCAAGGCAG